AGGTTCACGGTTACCACTGGTTACACTTACACCTGCAAAGGACTCAAAATTCCTCCATAACAAATACCTTGATAACAGCATCTGTGATTCATGCGGTACAACTGAAGATTTTCAGTAGCATTTCATGCTGGAGTGTAAACAGTTCACTCTTCATACACAGTCTCTCCAAAAAACACTTGGCTTGACAGATAATCAAATGATCCTCACACTTTTCCTGTGACAATATTAAACAACTTTGTTCAAATCCAAAGTTCTGTTCAGTCAAGTGCTGATGAAATGAAAGGATATCTGAATGTGTCGATAACATGTTGTACTTACATGTAGCAATTAGAAGGAGGGCAGTTCCACGGAAACATCAACCTCTGGGCCAAAATTTCAAACTGGTCCATACTTTCATGTATACTTTCATGAAACATACTTCATTTCCAACAACATTCAAGAATTTGGTTTTTATATGATACTGAAAAATTGGTTTTAAATACTGAGAAATTGGGGAAAATATTTCCCCTCTCAAAGATTTTCTGTTTTTTAGCCTGATAATAATTTTTGGTTCCAGTTTTGCTACAGTTTGAAGAGTGCCCCAATAAGTAAACAAAGACAGAAATGAGTTTTCGTTTTCCTTTTGAAATTCGATGTAATGTCTTATTTTATAACAATTACTTTCTTATGTACGTCCGACACCAAAATGACATATTTTATCCCCTCAGTGCACCCTTTAGCAAAAGACTGCCAAATTTACAATACAAAGCACAGTGAGTTCTGTCTTTCTAGATATCAGCTTAACTCCCTAAATTATTTTTTCAAATACTCAAAAATTGTGGAATCAATTGTGTACGTCCGACACACTGTCCATGTACGTCCGACACTGTCAGAACCATGCATTGCTGGCAATGCAATGCTTTTACACTGTACAGAAACCACTACCACCTCATTTGCATACATGAAAATGAGGCTCCAACATTTTGTAAAAGTACCAAATAGGCTTCACTTTTGTTTTTTACTAATATGCATTAATTTGACTATTTGGACATACACATCCTAATAAGGTTATAATTAGGGCCCAAAGCCATTCCACCTGTGTCATGTATAGACAAACATGTGCTTTGCATGTATTCAAAAGTAAGTCATGTCAGTGTGAGCTTTGCTGAAGACAAGTAAAGTTCTAGGTGTTGTATACAAGTACATGTAATCCACATCAACAAAGACGAATTGTCAAAGACTTTACAAAAGTGTGTTTTTTTATACGTTTGTTCAAGGTACATGTAAAATCAATTAGTTTCACTTTCTGCTGCTTGAGGAATTAAAGGGGGTGTTCCACTTGTATATGCTTTCCATGGCATATACATGTACAGTATCTATCATGAAACATACAATGTAAGACTGTAGTTTTAAAAGCATTACGCCATTAGTCTTAAATTTCAGTGAAAAGGATAATCTCTTAGCGTAATTGCTAGCCCATTCCTTTGATTTGGCAATCATCTAAAAGGGTACATAAACATCTACTCATTTAGCTTCTTTTTAGATTTTACATGTGTACTATAACCTGTGAAGTGTGAACTGGAAATCTTTAAAACTTGCAGCTTAGTACACACG